ATATATAGGGTTCGAACCCACGACCCTACTATTGTAATGCAAATTCATCATGGAGACCTTCTATAGTATTGCTTTTGTGTCATTGAGTTTAATATCATAAGTCCCTAATATAGGACTAGTCATTGTGCTACAGTACTTCAGGCAGTCGGGCTCCCGACCACCCCATATATATGTACAACTGCAGGTATGTATCTCCGGCAGCTCCTCTATACAAGACATCTATACATGAACACCTTCCATAACTTTTCCTAACTTTTCTTTTATACGTGAACACCTTCCACAACTTAGGAAATTTCTTTTATACATGAACTCCTTCCAAGACTTAGACAATTTTTAACAAATTTTCTAATTATCTTATAAATGTTATTTATCTTTATTTTTATAATATTTTCGACTTGTATTTCTATTATTTATTCTATTTCAAATATTTTTTCAAGTTTTTATAAATTTATTTATTATGGAAGACAATATTTTGCCTTTAATTTATATGTTTTGGTTAATGTTGAAATGTATTTATATTTGGTTAAATGTAATTTTGTTTTTTTTTAAATTGACGCCCCTTTATATTGAATTTAATTATTAATAATAATATTGGGCCGTCACAATAGGTTGCGCTTAACGATGAATATGAGAGCACAGCTTGGGACAAATTGGATGAGGAAATGCTACCAGTAGACGGTGGCCAGGTGGTTCCACCTGAGATACTTGGGAGAGTGGTGTCCACCTTAGAAGATTTGATTCGCCTGGTGTACGGGGACATCAATAGGATGCGGCATCAAGATAAGTCTTGGGTGTGTGAACGAGCCATTTTAACACCCAAAAATGACCAAGCTTCAGCAATCAATGAATGCATTCTCGCGGAAATTGAGGGAAATGAAGTGATATACATTTCAATAAATACTATGGTCGACCAAGAAGACGCCACACATTATCCCGTAGAATTTCTCAATTCCCTCAGTGCAAGTGGACTACCAGCGCACATCAATAAGCTAAAGGTCGGTGTCCCAATTCTGCTTCTTCGAAATCTCACTCCACCGAAACTGTGCAATGGGACCCGGCTCAAAGTTGTCTCGCTGCAGAGAAATATCAATGAGGCGGAAATTCTAACGGGTTGTGGGTTCGGCGAAACAGTGTTTATACCACGTATACCACTGATTTCCCACAATTACCACTTTCAATTCAAGCGCGTGCAGTTTCCTGTGAGCGTGTGCTTCGCCATGACAATAAATAAGTCACAGGAGCAGACACTGAAGGCTGCGGGTGTCGACCTCAGGACGAGCTGCTTTTCACACGGATAACTAACTGTACGTCGTTTGCTTCGCGCGTCACCAGTCCTGACTCGCTGTACATATTGAATGAGACTGAGGAAAAAGCAACGAACGTTGTTTACACAGAAGTGTTACAGTAAATTATAACACTTCTGTTATTCGACGTCTCCAAAATTCCCTTATTAACCTGAAGTCTCTTATCAGTAAATTAACGACATAACTTTCAAATTTTGAGTTTACTAAGCTAAATAGTTTTTGAAGCTTTAGTATATATAGTATGGGACGCGCCTTTGGAGTGTTTCTGTAAATCAACAAACTATCACTAACTATTATTAAAATAAAAATGGAATAAAAAATACTTATGCGATACGTAGGCAAAGCCACGGGTACAGCTATAGTTTATAAAGATTTTTTTTAAAGTTATTTGCAATATTATTGTTAATTCAGTGTACCCTTGGGATCCCTGAAATATACGGGATGAAAAGTTTTTTGTTGTGTAGGTGTTAAGTCTAGGCAGCATATAGGCTATAATTTATTTTGGAAAATGGAACACCTGATGCAGAACCACAACAGACCAGCTAAAGTATAAGAGATATAGAAATGGTGCCATAGCAAAAAATATTCCACGTTAAGAGTATTTTCTGCTGTGAGACTAAATTTGAAGATCTGGAACACCTGTTGTGGAACTTCAAAGCCCAGCGACATTATAACATATATAGGAATGACGTCTTAGCAAAAGTTGTTTAGTCTGATGGGCATTTCCTATTGACTTACAAAAATGAAAGATCTGGAACGTCTCGAATTGTCTCGTGCATCACGTTGTTTTCCCGTCCCCGGGCTCTTAGAATTCAACATCAGACGTTTCAGATCTTCGATTTTGACGACCCCGTTATCACTGGCATAAGCAACAGGATCCGCGTACGAAGTCGCGGGCAGAAGCTAGTATGTAAATATTGATTTAAATATTGTTATCACATCTAAATTGATATTTTGTAAGTTACGTCTTTTGACACTCGGCTCATATCTGACGTCATTGTTCGTTTTTCTCAATCGATTTGGCACATATACTTGGTAGAGCCATGCTGCAGTTAAAAACATTACTTGTATCATTTTTGGTAAGACGTTTTAAGTATTGCAAAATTTTAATTCAATATTAAACGTTGTGTCTCGTTTACTTTGATCAATTTTTTTATTTTATAAATGTCAATAATTAAATGCAATTAAACGCGTGCAATAGACGTAGGTATATTAGTTCTGAATGGTACCATTCAAGAAATGAAAGTATTTTTTTACATTTTATATTTTACATTTTACATGAGTTGATTAGAGTAGATGTTTTGACCAGTAATATTAAGTTTTGACTAGAAGTAAGAAGTTTTGACTAGATTTTTTTGTGGTAACTCTGGTGATAAGTTGTAAAAGTAATTGGTTCCGAAAAGTTTTATTAATTTAAATAGTGTAAATTCATAATATCCACCTCCGTTTTATATTATAGTTAATAATTACTGCCGCTTGATTGTTTAAAAAGTCGGTAAGATCAAAATTATAACAACATTTTTGTGTTGGAACAAAAAGTGACAGGTAACGAACATTGTTTAAAATTCATTGTAATTCTTATTTCATATCATTTCTTTTATGAGTTATAGATCTACTCTACATATTTCTTGGATTATAATATTCTTTGCGGGTTTCTTTTCGAATTATCTTAACGATAATTTGATTTGAGATCTATAAATATTAATAAAATAGCTCAACATTAGCTTGATCTGCTCCTTTTTTATATAGGATAGGGTAAAAAATGAGCACATTGTCCACCTGATGGTAAGTGGTTGCTGCGGCCCATAGACATCTACAGCTATCCTCGATTACAAATCAAAATGCAGATGCGTTGTCACCCGTGAGGACTAAGATGAAATGACGAAGCAATTCCAATAACAAAGGTCTCCGGTTCTCTACACTCACCATACGAAACACAGCAACGTTTAGCTACTATTTCACGCTGGTATTCTGTGAAAGCGTGGTCCTTCTCCGGTCGAGCCGACCCATTCGTGCTACAACTATACTACTAATTTAACTGCAGCATGGCGCTACCACGATGTATATATGTCCTTCTGTTTTCGATCTTTGTTTTCATTTATTATTTACAATAAATAGTAAAATGAATACTCGCAACGCCAAGACGCACCAGATGGAAAAGCTCCAGCTTGTGCTTCAAGAACTTAAGGCATCCAGGGAGCAGCGTGAATTGTTGCTTAAAGAAAGGAAAGATAATGAAAAGGAAATAGTTAGCATAGTTGCCAAAAATACACAATTAAAATGAGATGTCGTTAAGTTACACACGGATTACACTAGTGATATAAAAGAAAGAGATCAGTTACAGGGAACGGGTAATGAGTTTGACCAATGCAGCAAGGAATATGAGGTAGCTCTCAGGTTTATTCCTGCATTGAAGTTACAGTTGAATGAGGCCAATGAGCAAATAGCACAACTTAAAACATACATAGATGACCTAAAAGCCTCACAGACTCAAAGCCTATTCTCTGAGCTTGTGCAATGTAATACCTCTAAATTATTACAGCAATCTGCAAAAATAGATTTGACAGGTGACAACTCCTCCACTTCAGGAAAAACAGTAAGGATTAATTACAGTAAAACCATATTGAAGAAATATAATATAACAGTTAATAAATACATGAAGAAAATTCAAAAATGAATACAAAATAAGATCAATACCAAAAATTGTGTAAATGTGTGTAAAGAAAAGCAAGCATTGATGTATGAACTTAAATTGTATTTAATTGAGATGGATAAGATTAAAAAATATTATGAGACTGACGTAGAGTGCCTTAAATCAGAAATTTTACTACTTTCTGACTCCCTTCAAACTTTGTCCAATAAATATAAATCAGCCCAAAATGAAATTAAAGAACACATACTGGCTATGGATAACCTGGTAGAGACATGTAAATATGAGGAGCGTTTTGACTCCGTAGTAAAACATCAATGTGAGTGTCAGAGGACAATACCGGTTTCTTCAGAGTCGGTGTATGCTGATAATATTATATCACCACCAAACTCTATGACAGTACCATAACAGAGGAGATTAAAATGAAATATAATTCAAATATTACCAACAATAATATAATTGTGTATAGCGATGACATGGGAAAAAATTTAGGCATAATTTATTATAGTATTATTTTGTTTATACTATACTATATTTTGTACATATAGGTGGCGCAGTTAGTTAGCACCGCGTAGGTACATAGTTCATAAAATTTATTGATGGTAATATCGACGGGTGCAGAGTAAAAAAAGTTAAATGCAATTTTGAGATTTTTGGTTTTTTGTAAAAACTAACTTAAAATATCATGTTCTACAACATAGCAAAAACAAAAATATAAATATCACCTTATTTTTGGTACTTTTGTCACATAAAAGAAGACAACTACGCCTGTTTTGTGAAATTGCACGATGTAGATGCGGACAACTACCGCTGACCGTTTATACGAGGGACGCGCGGGGGGCCAGCGGTCAGTCATATTGCGTCATCAGTCAGATGACATGTGCTTCGCCGGCCGGCACGAATATTTGTTTGTTTTGGTTCGTTAAGTGTTATAGTGTGTGTAAAAGTGTTACCATATTAGTAAACAGTTTGAGTTCAACACAAAAGACATGGAAAGACGTTAATTATTGGTGAATTTGGGCAAAACGGGTCGACAATGCGATATTATGAACCGAGAAGATCTATTACGACTTATCGATAACAACCGTGAAACTAGTTCTCGTACGTATTTTTTATAATACAAGTTTAATGTTATTGTTATTTGGAAGTTAAATCATAAGTAGTTTTTGTAATTATGAAAATAGGTTATCATTGATATTTTTTTTACGAAAGTTAGTATTGTTTTTTATGTTTATGAGTACCTACCTATGTTAATTCTTATTGTTAGCTATATATATTAATTGACTTATAATTAAATTATATTTTCTTACAGTTATTTTTTACTATTGTTTCATGTTCAGAAAGTCCGAAACGACCTTTTAAAGAAGATGAAAGCTTACAGAACATAAGCGATGGATTTTACGACAAAAATGCTGTGTTGGCCGATGAACTTACTGAACATCTTATGGAAGACCTTAATGTGTCAGCGATGAAGACAAATGAGTATCAGTTAACTTTGCAAGATAAGTCCCCATGTTCTGTGTACTCTAGGTCGATCACACCAGTTCACTCTCAATCTGAAATAAAAATTAATTCAGAAAATGTTTATATTGATAATAGAGATTCTCCGAGCAAATTATCGGATAAACCAACGCCCTCAGAATACAACTCATTTTATATCAAAATATCTGTTTAATAAACTCAGGCAGGCCATCGAGTATGTTACTAATTTCAAACTGTCAATCTTCTATAAGCAACACTAGTGATGCTTCTTCGGCGGTGGAGGCATCAAGTGAATGTTCTACACCTTCGTCGTTAAACAGTAGAAAAAGACGTCAGTTCAGTATTGATAGATCAAGAAAAAGGCGATTGAGAAATAAAGACAAGTGGATTGATAAAAGACGTAAATTACTATTAAATTCAGGTAAACAACATCAGTCCAGAAATGGAAAATTGCAACCTGCGAAACATCTTAAGCCGGCATGTGTTATTTGCAAGTTTAACTGTAGCGCAAAAATATCTCACGAAGATAGAAAACTTATCTTTGATCGTTTTTGGGATCGCAGTGATCACGAAAAGCAATGGGTTTTTATACGTAGTACATATACTCAAAAGTTGTATGAAACGAAGAATTACTACAGAGAATGATTGTAAACGCCAACAAAGTGTAAACTATACACTTCCAATAAATTTAAAAGAAACCAGCCCTAGAACTGTAAAGGTATGCAAAACAATGTTTAAGAATACGCTGTCGGTAAGTAATCAGTTTATACAGAGTGCTCTTGATAAATATGATAAAAGTACTGGTAACTGTGAAAAAGACTTCAGAGGTCGTCATAACAATAAAAACAAGGTTTGTACAGCCGCCATAATAAAAGGTGTGTGTGATCATGTAAACTTGTTTCGACCAGTGGAGTCACATTACACAAGAAAAGACACAAACAAAGTTTACTTGGCAGATTTAAATTTCTCCACTATGTTTAAGTTTTATCAGGCTTGGGCAGAGGAAAATATTATTGTGGAGAGGGTACACACAGCGCGCCAGTACCGAGACATAGTTAACAAGGAAATGAACATACATAAACACTCACGCCTGTCACCCAGAGGGGTAGGCAGAGACTACAGACTTCCATTTAGCACGATCCTGACATATCTTTCTCGCCTGTTCCACATCCATATACCTACGCATACATGCTCGTCGGTTAAGGGTACTCTTAATGTGGCCCATTTTTAGTATATCGCCAATTTGGTCGACAAACTTCCGCCTAGGACGTCCCTTTCCGACTCTTCCATGAGTCTGAGTCCACTGGTCTTTTTTAGGAATATAAAAGGAAATGAACATAGCCTTTTATATTCCTAAAAAAGACCAGTGCGACGTGTGTATAGCATTTAAAAATTGCCTTCCTTCACAAACCAGAGCACAAGATCAGTACAATAAACATATACAAGATAAAAATATAGCGAGATCTTTGAAGAAACAAGACAAAAATGAAGCTACTTCTAATCCTGAAATTGTAACTTCGGCTACCTTTGATTTTCAAAAAATTTTGTCGACACCACACGGAGAAATCAGTTTATTTTATTATAAGCGTAAACTTTCTGTCTTTAATTTTACTGTTTTTGATATGGGACTTAAAAAAGGAATATGTTATATGTGGTCTGAAACTATAGCTAAGCGGGGTTCGAACGAAGTGGCTAGTTGCCTTTATAATTTTATACGACAGTCAACTAATAGAGGCATCAAAGATATCCGCCTGTGGTCCGGTAACTGTGGCGATCAGAACAGGAACCATATTGTGTTTCTGATGTATGTATACTGTTCTCAAAAGTATAGCATTGATATTCATCACAGATTTTTGGAGAAGGGTCACACCCAGCAAGAAGGCGATAGTGTCCACGCATTAATTGAGAAATCGTCGAAGAGAAAATTCATTTTTTGTCCTGAAGAATGGTATACACTCGTTCGGTGGTGTAAAACGGCCGGCGATGCTTATGAGGTTATAGAAATAACACAAGACCAAATTTTGGATTTTAAAATATGTTTATATGATTTTAAATTGACAAAAAATACCGACAATGAGAATGTTAAGTGGAATCAAGTTCAAGAAATAGTCGTTAAAGCAGAGAATCCTTACACAATATTTTATAAATATGATCTAAATGACGAAGAACTCAAGCGAATTGAATTGGTGCGAAAAGTGACTACTCGTTCCCATCGTGGCTTTAATGATCCCAAAAAATGTTATAATGAACCCATCATGATTACAAGTGCCAAGTACAAAGACTTAATAAGCCTCTGCCAGCAAAATCTGATACCTCCTAGATATCATAACTTTTATAAAAATTTGAAACATAGTTCCTGTACTGACGGTAATGAGACTGAATAATTTTTAAATTGGTTTTAAAATAATTAAAAAAAATCTTTCGTATTTTTTTAAGTATTGATACAGAGTTTAATTATTATTTTTTTTATAAATTATGAAAACTAGAATTTTCTAGATTTAATTTTAATTGTTTTTTTTTTCTAACGAAGGCTATCATTATAATTTTACTGTTGAATTCTATACTAATCTACGTGGGAATTCAAAGACTTAGTAAAGTATTTTACTAAATCTTTGAATTCCCACGTAGAAACGGCCAAGTGGTAGTTAACACAGTTGTCATATTTTTAAGCGCAATGTAGATGCAGACAACTACAATATCTCGTAAATTAAACATAATTAGAAGAAATGAAATATACATGTGGATACATTATTAAATAATGAAGCAATGATGAAAATTTCAATAAATTTGGTTTAAAATTGACAAAATGGGAGCATTTTTTTCCTATTATGCGCTCTCCTGAAAAGTAGCTGTTTTGTAGACGACACTTTTTACTTTGCCCCCGTCGATATAATATGTTTAATGCAGATATTAAATAATATGATATGAGTACAGAAATTTTGAAAAAAAAAATATATTCAGGATAAACCAGTTTAGTTTACTTATCTCTTTTAATTATAATTGACTCATGAAAACATTTATAGTTCTTTATCTTAGTGAAATATAATAAAATAAACAAGTATTATATATAAGTAATTGAACACCTAATTATTTAGATTTAAGGAACATTAACATTAAGATATTTTACAACATTGTTTTGTTACTATTATTGGGTGTGTTATCCGTGACATCTATTGATTTTTTAAGTAACTTCAAAGCTTTGGCTATTTGGAAGTGTATAATCAAGTGTTTACTATCTTTGTAATTTGAAATCATGAAACTAGATGTCGCTGTTATGTTAATCAGAATTTGTCTGTTTTCTTAAAATATTAGTTTACATTTTAATCCTTAATCATGTTTCAATACTGACGGTAGTATTAAAACACAGTTTAGCATTAGCATCTAGAAATGAAAATTACTTTTTCTTTAAACAATTTGTTTTTTTTTTAAGTTTGGTTACCTGTCAATAGATGTCTTTACTTGTTATAATACAAAAAGGAAATAAAAGCATTTCCCACAATACTATTATGTATTCTGTGACAATATTTAAACGCCATGCAATGCATTAATTATTCAAGAAATGCATGACATGTATTCCTTGAATGATTTACCCTTCATGCAGTGCAATCGCTTAGAATCTAAAGCGAACAATGAGCTGATACAATGTAGTGTTTACTCACCAGTGTGTAATGTGTGAGACAGTCTAAAGTACGAGTAATTGGACGTTTTTAGATGGATTTCCTACGACCAGTTGGTCACCAGAACCAACTGGTTGTAAGAAAGTTGGTCGTTGGTTCTGTTAGAAATACACATTAGTTTATGATTGTAGACAAAAATTGTTCGTTCTTTTTACAAAAGTGAACAGCTACTATATTGTCATAATATATATTATTTTTTATTTTTTTATATATATACAGTGTGTCCGGTTACGGACCGGTAACGATATTCTAGGTAATTATAATACAGCTATTTTAATACAAAAATACACTACACACTGAGGTCTAATCCCCTCCCCCTCTTTCTGGCAGCCATTTTGTTTTCTTCGTGAGATATTATCTACGTGTTTACAAAAATATTCATATCTCTCAAAGTTTTGGTCTTACTGAGATAAAAATTAGCTCATTCGAAGGACAACAATATTGTCTATCGTTTCCGTTACCAAAAAAATTGTTAACATACTCGTAACTTTAAGGAAAAAAAAATTACTTCAAATAAATATCAAAAAATTATGCTAATCGGCAAATTATTGCAAAAATAACCCCGTTTACCCTTTTAATTTTTTACTATATCGACAGATTTTTAGTTAAGCTACAATAAAACATAAAGTTTACAGCTGTATGTTTATTATTTTAAGAATTATTGCTGTTTGAACATAGCGTATGCGCAAATACAAAAGGCCTTTGTTTAGTGACAACTGGCACTGCTTAAGTTACTTATTATAGTTTATATTTAATTGTTTTACAAAATTGACCTACAATTAAAATATCTAAAGAAGTTGCTCAAAGTGGTCACCTCCAGCTTGTAGACAAGCTAAAGCTCATGTGCCACCTGCAATGTGCAATCCGTCGAACGCTTAGTCTGGGATTACTTGTTATTAGCCTAAGCACTTCTTCTTCATCTTCGGGCGATACCAAACTTGAATGCCCCTTTCCGCTAATCTCGAGTGCACGTCAACAAAAGTTTGGCGACATGGTGTAGGCCTGTTAGGGTACCTTCATCGATATTCTTGTACAGCTCTATTTGCACTTCCATTGCAAAAGCCATACACGACGTGTACGAGTATGTCGGCAATATGTTGCGATAAATATTGACGACTTGCCATATTTGTATCACACTCTTAACGATAAATAGTATTACAGCATGTGAACAACACGGACAATAAGTGAAAGTAGCGATAACAACGCAGGGCGAGGGACAATTAATTTAACTAATCAACTGTCAAACTGGGATTTTTTTTGCTGGTAGCTTACAGTATTTAGGCCTGCTCTTGATTGAAATACATCATTGCATCAATTCGAGAGCATGCAGCACAGAACACCATTACTCCTAGGCAGGTAGTGCCAGTTATCACTAAACAAAAGCCTTTTGTGTTTGCGCATACGCTATGTTCAAACAACATAAATTCTTAAAGTAATAAACATACTTTAGCTGTAAACTTTATGTTTTATTGTAGCTTAACTCAAAATGTTAGTAAAAAAACTAAAAGGGTAAACG